AGAGTATAACTTAAGATAGCATATTATGTAGGAAAATAAATAATATGAGCCGCGCCACGACAAAACCAACATAGTGCATTTGCGACCAGCATGGATCCAGACCAGCCTGCGCATCCGCGCAGTCTGATCAGGATCCATGCTGTTCGCTTACAAACCCTATTACAAGTAGAGAAACTGAAAGCGAATAGCATGGATCCTGATCAGACTGCGCGGATGCGCAGGCTGGTCTGGATCCATGCTGGTCGCAAACCCACTATGTTGGTTTTGTCATGGCGCGGCTCATATGTGTCAAGTTGTAATGATGGCAAGCCACTTTAGTAAATACCTTTAGTCTGTAGCCAGAGATGATTTTGTCATTCTCTGCATATATTAAACGATGATTCTGTATTATGTACGTTTAGTTATATTTATTATACACATGTTCACAAAAAGTATGGGTTAAACTTTGTTAAAAGTAGGATATACAATGTAATTCATTATGAAACATATGCTTGCATAATGCTCCGCAAACCGTTATCTTCTTAAACTTTACGGAGCAGGAACAAGACACTTAACTACTTCCCCCCGCCCCCTATAAGGATTTAATCATTTGAAACGGCCGAAAATTGATAAATTGCTCGTTTTGTTCAGCTAGTTCGTATTGAAATCGTAATCATTAAAGCCTTTTAAAATGTTCATATATATGCTTGATGTTTTTTTCGAATAGTCGTAAAGCAATTTTACGGGATACATCGCCAATGCTTTCAGACACCTCACCCTAAGACACTGTTAACTCTAGAAACCTGAGACACTTTATTAAAAGGTGAAGTGTTACGGCATGGCTTTGTAACTAGTAGCCTAATGATTGCTAGCCGCATGGGTTCAAACCCCGTTAGGCGCAAGCCGTTGTTTCCTTGAGCAAGAAACTTTACACTCATTGCTAAGTACGTACTGGTTGGTTCCAGGAACGGATTCGAAAGTGTGTCTATAAGCTTATAGCTTCCTACACAATCAAACTTAAATAAATTCTGTATGAACCAAAGGTGAAATGTCCTCTATATTTAAGATTTGATGGGGGGGGGGTAAGTGTCTTGTTCCTTCGCCGATATACCGGTCGGGAATGTTGAGATTTGCAAAGCATTCTGTATGCATTTCTTATAAAGTCATAAAGTCCTACGTAGGAGTTAAAAAGTCCTACGTAGGAGTTAAAAAGTCCTACGTAGGAGTTTTAAAGTCCTACGTAGGAGTTATAAACTCCTAATTAGGCTTTTTTATCTCCTACGTAGGAGTTATAAAGTCCTACGTAGGAGTTATAAAGTCCTACGTAGGAGTTTAAAAGTCCTACGTAGGAGTTACAAACTCCTAATTAGGCTTTTTTATCTCCTACGTAGGAGTTTATTTTTTATAGAACATTATGAATTGGCACCAGGACGCTTCCGTAGATTCCCCATTTTTAACTTAGAACGTATAAAAATGGGCTTTATTTCAATAAACTAAAATTTCAATTTGACTAACAATGGAATAAAGTTTTTTGGCGGTTCGCAAATATCTTATCTAATTAACATAGGCTATTACAGGCATTTCTATTCGATTAAACTTGATGAACAGACAAGTGACATCACGTATAGGTGTTACTTGTTGGTAACAAATGTGTGATATACGTATAGGGATGACTGTGCCATACGTGCCATTTGAAAAAGAAAATAAATTATAAATTTCAACGTTTTTATTTAATTCTATTTTACGTTTCTTTTGAACATTTATGGCGTGGCAAATGTTGCATTATTCTATGTCAAATGAATCTGTCGACTTAACATTATAATAGTTGTCTTATGAAATAAGTAACTAATATGTACTTTTAAAATAATTGAGTTCTTAAATATAATTGTGTGGTTATATATTTATATATCTTTCTACTAACAACTAAAACAATATACTTAAAATAATTGTATTCTAAAAATATTTATGAGGCAAAGGATAGGCTAAAACATATTTATTCCACAATCAAAACAAGTACTTGAAGACATTTTTGAGTAAATTATTTATGGTCTAAAAATGTTTTCATATGGACACTGTGTTCAAATACCGTTTTGGCTCTTTATAATGTATTTCACCAGAAAAGAAATTAATCAAACATTTATTTCTGTAACTTTTAATAAGCCACTTCAAAACTGAAAGATGAGGCTAAACTAAATGTCAATTTATACACAAAATTGAGTTTTTTTTTTTTTCATTTTTCAAACATTTATTCAGCATGAAAGGATGATTGTTATATCGGCTTAAAAATAAAACAAATCCGTCGAACGCTGTAGAATTTAAGATATTTTGTCCGCCAATGGCAGTGATAAATGTTACAGTTGCGAAAGATACGCAACGATGTCATGTTAAAAAACGGGATTTGACGGTCAACTTTGACGTCGTGTGTACAAAAAATTGCTGAAACTATTGGAATAAAATCAATGGAATTTGATTTCGAGAATTTCAAAGACGTTACAATTTTACTTAACAATTACTCAACTATAAGAATCAGCTATAAAAAACGCTCCGCATTTAGAAATAAGTGAATCTGAACTTTAGTCAGATTGATGTTTGTTTCAATAGAATAAAACAAAAATAAAACTCAATTGATGTATGACAGTTGCATTTTTTAATTTCTGGGGCAAAATGTGCCATTCATTACATTTTTTGGTAACAATTGCCGTTGCGAAATATCACGTCAGGTGTTTAGTTGGTAGATGTTATAAGGGATTGCCGAAGAAACGCACGCTTAGAGATATCACTCAAACGGTAAACTATACGCCACAGTGTGTGCATGATATTATCTCTGTATACCGGGATCATGAGGAGGGATGACTTCTTGGCTTACATTTGAATAATTTTAAAGTATGATGTTACTTCGCGCGAAATAAATGTAAAGCTTAACCAACTTTCCAAAATGTAAGTCAACACCCATTGCTTTGCAACGGTAGATAGTGTCACGTTGTCAATACGTGTGGGGCTTCCGTGGTACTGTGGTTGACTTCATACCACCTGCATCTCACAACTTTAGGTTTGAATCAAGCCAGGGACTTTGGATTATTTGTTTGTTAAGAAGCTGTCGATCTAGCTAACGGAACGTCTATTGCTCTAATTTAGGCGCCCGCCCGTCCCTGTAAAAACATGTACGAGCACCTGATGTCTTCCTCCTCCAGTAAAGCAGGAATGTCGCCATGTGACCTGTATTATGTTGTCGTGACGTAAAACCCAACCAAAAAATAAAGATTTAAAAAACAACAACCAGAAAACTATATTCATACAATGTTTTCTTAAATATATCATGAAGCTATAGTATTGTCATTATCATTTTTGAAGATGTGTAGCGTGTACCGAGCGATTGAGTAGTAAATATATTGTTACAAAATACAATCACAATATTCTCAAATGTAAATATATATTTTTTCTTGGAATACTTATCCGAATTGATTTGAAATATTCAAATATCAATTTTTCTTGTGGTTTCTTAACCTTTTGATTAGATATCAACTTAATAAAAACTCTAGAAATAGTAAAATGCAAAAATAACAATCTTCAACTAATTATCACATTATCCGAAATATATATTTCAAGAAGCAATTACACTCTTTTTACACTTACTTTCAACCAAACTAAAAATTATATTCCTTAACCTAGCTCTTATTTCTTACTTTAATATTTCAAACCAATCATCTCGTATCTCAGATAAACGTTCAAAAACCAATTCTTTAAATAATATCTTCAAAATAAACTGTTCTCTATCAAACATGTGTCCAAGTGGTTTTACTTAGGCAATAAAGTATTTTAGCACCAGATATTTAACCCTTTCGCTGCCAGAGGGTTATTGTTTTATTGATCACCTATTTGCCAGAGGGTTTTCTAAGAAATTAATATATCATTAATAAATATAATTATCATTATTATTTGTTATTAGTATTATAATAATTATATATGTTTCCATATATGCTAGTATAATAATAATTATTGTCGATGGTATAATTTTCTTTATATTTATTATTATTTTTATTGTTATTACTAATTTATTATTAGTATTATTATGATTATTATAGAAACGGCAAAAGCCGTCCATATGGCAAATACGCAGAAAATAACAGGGACGGCATAAGCCGTCCCTATGGCAGTGAAAGGGCTAAGATACCTGGGTACTAGTAAATACAATATCACCTATATTCAACTCTTACAAGGACAACAGGAAGACTAACTATTTAAATAATATAATATTTCCTGAAGATGCAAAGATATTTTTAGCACCAGTATCCAGATGCCTGGGAACTAGTAAATATAATTACAACTTCGGTCTTAACGGTCCGGAGCCAAAACCAAAACTAACCCAAAATATATTTCTTAAAATAATTTATGCTAAAGGAATTTTACAGAAATCATAAAACGTCCTTAGTACCAGAAATCTGAGATTTCTGTGTACCAGTTAGTATTTAACGGACAGGACCAGACTGAATTTTTACACTGAACACGCTCTATTCATATGCTTGTGAAGCATCATCCCTGCAGTGAATAAAAACAATCATTTTGATTGGCTAAAATAATAAAACGTTTCTTGAAACTGACTTTAACTAAACCTTATAAGCGTCTGTCACTTGAAGTAAATTTCCATACAAATCATTGTGAGTAAACAAGCAATTCAAAATATAAACACTTTGGATGATTCTCCTAACTTATATCTTTTTGAATATAAAAAAAAACAACTAATTGAAAATACCTACTCTCCCTATCTAATTGGATTTATGAATTAATTGTTATATTTTTTCTGATGCAAATGGCGAACTTATAAATAGGGGAGGCAATCAAATCAACTATAAAGTACATTTCCGTCACAGATGTTCAAATGAACGTCGTATTTCTGAAGAGCCGTAGCATTATTTTTCGTGTCAAGAAAATTTAAAAACAAACAAACAATATATATACGGTTTATTTACAGCATATTCATATACATATCACTAACAACAAAAACAACAGGAGAAACCGCAAGGGCCTGATAAAGTTATTCGGAAGATAAGCATTTTTTATCTGATGTACTTTCGAATCGATTCTTCCTGTTTCAAAATAGTATTTGCGTTTGACCCGATGCTCCTGCCTGGATTATTTGATTTCTGTTATTCCCTCGTGCATATTCCTCTATATCATATTCATTAATTCCCGGTAAGTTAGGACAAGGTAGACACTGAAATAAAAAATAAAATGCAGGAAAATAATTTTAAAGTTTTATTCCAAATTTTGAAAATATTGTAAAAATGGAAGAAGAGTAACACGTGTACTAAAATTATGAGAAAATAACTTCATGACGAGATGCAAGCACGTGGAAATATTACATGTAAAAACCCACGAGTCATGACAAGTAAAATTGCAAATATGCAAAGAAACAAAAATAATGAAAGCATACATCTATAGCAGCAAATATTTAAATATTAAAATCATATAAGAATGCAAATTGATATATCAATGAAACCCGTTACCCCTCTAAATACATCCGGGTCTTCTACTCGAAAGAGTTGGCCTCTGTAGTTCCCTACATATTCTTCTATATATTCATTCACTCCTGGTAAATTAGGGCAAGGCAGGTACTGAAAATAAAATGTCAGTAAATAAAGTCAAATTTGGATAATAATGTAAAAGGATTGGTCAAAACAAAAAAGGCCGGGTTGCATTTGTATACTAAATATCATGAGACTGTGATGTTACTAAAATTTTCTTCCATTGACGATTTAACTAAGTCGTTAGACAGGTGGTGTATAAATGACAGGCTTTTCATCGATTCCCACGTTATGGGACACAATGTGTATGCTGTATACCAAATAATAACAAGTTGTGATAAGAAGTTGCTGAGAAAACTGTTACGAAAATTAGTTCCCCACCCGCTCGCCGCCCGCCTGTCCGCCCCCGACATTCACCATACTATAACTGGTTTGCACCTGTGCAACCCGGCCAATTACATGTTGAAGAAGTGTTATTTAAAAGAATGCGAACAATTTTTCATGACGAGAATCAAAGTCGTTAAAACACTACATGTTAAAAGATGATTTTCGAAAAGTCCAATACATGTAGTCATCACAAAAAATCTATTAAAAAATAGAATCATACATCACAAGACTAAAAATATTTTTTTTATCTATTATCAAAATGACATTATAATGAAAAAATGATTTATAAATGAAGCCATTACCTGTCTTAATACATCAAGGTTTCCTGTCTGACAACGCAGAGTAATAATCAATCTCCGATTCCTATTCAATGATATAATGGTATTATCTCGAAATTTCAACTCCAGATATGCTAACGATACATTTGAATTTCTTCTGCATCTACCATTTACATTTTCACCCATTTTAGATAACTGTAAACTTGTGGTTGTTGATCGTTAAAGCCTCACTGTTTGTATTGATAGTTGAAGTCTGAAAAATGAATCGGTTTACGCCCCATTCAGATTTCTGGCCAATCGTAATGAGCATATCCGCAATAAAACATTTTTTTAAACAAAGCACTTTTGTTACATCAGATAGCATTGAACACTCCTATTAACTTTCAATTGCATGTAACAAGGAAGCAAATTTATTTTGTGACTTGTAATGTAACATAACAAACTTTACAATTGTACACTGAAAGTGCAGTTTTGTGTAAACTGGTAGTGCTCGATATACCTTACACGATTTTTGTTTATTCTCTTGACTCTTTTAGCAGTTTTATAATCTTAATTGATATTATTTTTATAACATAAAAAATCGCAATAAGACAAGTATAACGTTCACAGTAATAAATACCCGAGACGCTCTCTGTTTCCCCTAAAATGGTTACATTTAATACAGCAAATAGTCTTCTAAACTTAGCATTTAATTTATCTTATCATCCTAGTGTTACCCTTAAGCTAAGGATAGCATTTTAGCTTTTTACCGGAAATTTTAGCTATAGTGAACTAAGTGAGACTTTATTTTGAAACAAAGTTGTCTGAGGATGAACTTTATGACCTTACAGTAAAATGCAATATGTAACATGAAGCATATAAACAATAATGAATCTTTCATGGCGTATGGAGATTTTTTTCCCTGAATGAAACTAAAAATGTAACTATTTCTGAAAATATGTACCATTTGTTAAAATGTATATAAATTCTATTCAAAACTGCTCAATGCTAATTGATGAGAGATAACGAATCAGTGTTATTCCTTTTTAAAAAGGAGAAAAATATATCTGAAACATTTAGTATTTTCAAATCAGTGAACTTGAACGCGCGTGATTTCCGGATTATATTACAACAAATATATCAAGATAAACCCCATGTGAGGAACACTTAATTTGAATTCAATTATAATAATGTCATGTTCATTAGTAACTGCTGGTAATTTGTTTCAAACTAAATTGACTTAAAGTTTGTTTTTTTAAACAAATGAATGTGTATAACATAACAGTTATATACCACAATGACGTAAAAATAAAATATTTTTTCCTAACTTTACCCCGTTACGGCTGAAATCTTTGTATTTAACCTTTGTTTTTTAGTACATCTACAGTATCAATTAATTGATATACACGTTACCTTATGGTGTTACGTGGATTATCTGAATGAATAAAATACATACATACTTTAGGGAACTAATCCTCAAACCGTTTTTTTTTCGAAACAATACATATGATGTTGACGAAGAACATAATTTTGCTGTTTCTGTAAATATAAAAACGTCCCATAATTTATTGGTTAAGGACTATGGGGCTAACAAGATCATGTCACGCTACTGTTACCAAAGTCATTAAAACATTAATACGCGGGTCATGTTATCTCATCTATCATATTTCATCTCTTAGACTTCAAAACCGTATTCTCACTCGTGGCTATGCCACTCACAATAGTTATCTTTTTAACGATCACTAAGTCTTGATGAAATAAATTTCCATCTTACATAATAACAAAGAACTATTCTTTATATATTTTGCGAAACTGTATTTTCTCTCTTTTTGATAAAACAAACCAGTCAAATCTGAGTATCAACATAAACAGTTTATACAAATTACCAACAATAAAAAGACTTAAATGACATTTGGTGAGTAAAATGATGATCAATACGTCACAATGGAACTATTGTTAACGAGCATCCAAGTGTGAAAGCAATTCGCTATTACCTTACGATATGAAAACATTAAAATTGTATCTCCATTAGTTTTTTGACAGCACGGAGAAATGCTACGATTATATCAAGATAATAAATTCAATCCGAACTTTTTATAAGTTTTTTAGATGTCAAAAGGGCCATCGAAAACAATAGCACGAAGTAAAACGTATCCTCATACAAATAAGCTCAGCATGCACTATAAATTTAAAGCCGCTTTCTTGTCCCGTTTTAGTTATATTCAATTAATTTAAGACAGGTACATGCCATTTAATGCCTACAAATTATTGATATTATCTCCGTCAAATTTCCTTTAAGTATTTCAATTATTTATAAACCCATCTTCCTTTTTATGGAGTATGAATGTTTGTTTAACGTAGCAGTATTGAACTGACAACAACTGATTAAACCAAAAGTCCCTCCCAATTTATCAGAACATCAATCTTGCTGCCTTGAATTTCAACTCCAGATCAAATATCACCTTCAAATGGTATTGAATTTTTTTTTCAAAGTTAGCTCGAAATTGGATATTTATGATTATCTATCTTTGAGCTGGCTTGAAGGTCAAAACTTTCGAAATTCAGAATATTATGACTTTCGATTTTTGATGTCAGTGCTAGTTTTCGTTTTTTTTTTGTTTTTTTTTTTTTTTTTTTTCAAGGGCCCCAATATTCAGAAGAGGGACAAAACTTAATGAAAGGTCATCTAATAATTTCATGAATTGTGAAAGGAAGTTTGTTTTCCGCAATTTGAGTTAGAGACCAAGATTGGTAATTGTTGATCATTAAAATACAATTGATAAAATGGCAGAAAAAGAATCGGTTTCAAGTAAAAGCTATGAATACAGACAGTATAATTATTTTGCGTTATGTATTATTTGTTCGAGATTTAGTAATAAAATGCATAGGATGTGTTTAATGGTTCTAGTCTATACAAAAGTTTTTGTTTTAATTTATCGTGCATCATAATTAAATTTCTGGCGTTTTAAAGACACTTCCCGCATTGTATAGCATTCCAATGGTCATAGCGAAGGAAAAATTAATTTCCCAAATCTGGATGGAACCAGACTTTAAACATATGCAAGGTATTATCCAGACTATCATATGATGGATGACATGGACAAATTTGGACCCGATATGTCTGCTTTAAATGTAAAATCGATAACATAGGTACAATCGCGAAGACATGCTTCAGACCATATGCTTGTAAAGTGAGTCTTCCTGCTAAAGATATATATTTTTACAAACAAATCATTACTCTAAGTTTTCATTAAGTTGTTAGTGATGAACTGCTAGCAATTTAACTACTGTTTGCTGTAATAGTTATTTTATATCAATTTAACACTGAACGGCACATGAAATGTTGCGCCAAATAAAGATAATGATTCCTTACAGGGATCAATTGTTTTGAACTTTGCTTGTCACCAGTAAGTAGCATAAAATCTGTATCTTCGTAATTATGATCTTTTGTTTAACTGTATCACAAAAAGACACATAGACAATAATAGATGCTAAACCACTACATGATATTTAGACCAGTTTCATAACTGACAAAAATACATTTACATACGTTACGATTACCATATTTTTATATGTTACTCACATAAATAATATCATACAAAAAAAAGATTTGTTTACTTAGACAGTTGGTTTTGTTCATTTTTGGATTCAAATTCAACATCTGAGATCTAATTGTAAAACTATAATCTTCTACTGTTATCGTATCCTACATAAATATCTTACGTTACCTCCGCAATAGATTCGGAATTAATATTGACAGGTCTTACGCCACTCCTTCGTTCAAAATAATTGCCCAATCAAAACACTGTCAGTTGCAGGTACATGTACAAGTGTGCGGAAAGATTATAACATCTATAACAAAAATTATGTGTGTCATAAATTACCTAAATGTTAAAGTTAGAAAGAAAACTCGCTAATAGCTTTCCACATTCTAACAGGATGTCCTTTAAATCCCTGCATAGTTAATCTAGTTTAAGTTTTCAGAAACGTTGGTTTTGAAATTTAGTCGAATAACCTTGAAATTCGTATTTTCGAGGGCTCTTTCAAATGGCTAAATCATACTTGAATATATAGTTTATTAATTCAAACCAAGGCCTGGGAACTATTTATTTTTGTGTTTAGGGGGAGGCTATGATAATTTTCGTGGACAAACATTTACTTAATTGTAAAGAAATCACTAATTATGTAAATGCTCATGAATGAAAGCACGCAACTTAATATTTGGTACAGTTCTAACAACGCCATCTTGGAGTATGTCGTATCGAAATTGCATTACAAAATGATAAAAAATGTCCTATGCGCCACAGCATTCTTCGATTTTTTTAAAACGGATAATTTTAGAAACTGTATAATCTATTTAGCTTTGTTTTGGCGGAGGGCTCAACAATGGATCATTTAAACATATCACCAAAAAGAGAAACAGCCAGCGATTAGTGTGTGTGAAAACTTGTTGTCAAAGAAAAATGAAAATTTTAGGAAATTAATTTTCATACTTCTTTTAATATTATCAACATAATTATTTATTTTTTCCCGATTTTACTAATTTGGTCAAACTAAATTAAACGCATGAGTAAAAGGATTATTATTATTATATTAGGAACTGTTATACATGTACATTTGCATAGTAAAAGATTCCTCCTAATCAGTCATAACTGAGAAATAATGATAAGATAAACTCAACAATGCTTAAATTTTGCAGTTTGAGGTTAAAGGTAACCGGTACATTCAATATAAATGTTATCTGATACGAAAATTGAATAACATGCCATACAAAATCTAAATACTTTCTTTTCCAAAACACATTATCACAGTCATAATCTTTCTGCTCGCGACATACGGAAAATTAATTACCCGCTTGTCAATGACTTTTAAACACGACCACGTAGCTATGTTTGGTTACGAAAGATTCAAAATGATTGTGAATAAAACATTTTAGCTGTCAAATTATCTATTTTTCTGCGTCCAGCACGCAATGTAAATCTTTGTAGATATGCTATTAAAGTGGTAGTATAGGATGCATACAAGTGTCACGAATAACGAATTATAATAATACTCTTTTAAAATTGTTATCAAAGTCTTGTAGACATCTGAGGAAAATTTAAGTTGCCTTGTAATTCAGCCGATCTGTTGATACGGCCGAAAAAAAAAACTAAAAAATAACAAAAAACAATTAGATGAAACAAGCTAAACGACGAGTCACATTTTGTGGGATCGTTTCCAAGGTTTACCTATAAAGA